TAAGAGAACCCTGAACCGAACCCAAACCCTGAACCAAACCCTGAACCTAACCAAAACCCTGAACCGGACCCTGAACCGAACCCTGAACCGGATTGAATTAGCCCGAACCAAACCTCACTTGCTGGCCCACACATGTGTGAGCCATGAAATGCTGGCTCGCACGTGTGGAGGGATACGGGGACACTTTGCATACATTTTGACCTATTTTTTAGTGTTTTTCGATGTATTCAACACCCGTATTGATACTGCAATGGGTATACGAGTCTAAACTATTTTCCACTCTTGACGGGAAGTTCCTGAAGAATGTTACGCGTAATATTCTTAAGGATAACCCGGCAACCTCCGACGGGTACACGAGGTTAAACTGATTCCCGAAACTCTTAGAAGTATACGAGTATAAACTGGTCCTCCACGCTCCAACGCCTTAAGAGCATAAACTGTGTCAACACCGATTAACGCGTTGCGATGAAAGTCACCGCCTGTCAACGCGTGGCGATGAAAGTCAACGTTGGTCGATGCGTAGCCCTATGTCAACGCCGGTCAACACGCGTGCCATGAAAGTCAACATGCGTGCGATGAAAGTTCATACCGGTCAATGCGTTGTGATGAAAGTCAATGTCGGTCAACGCGTTGTGATGAAAGTCAACGCGTTGCGATGAAAGTCAACATTGATCAACGCAAAACCCTAGGTCAACGCAAAACCCTAGGTCAACGTCGGTCAACGTGTAACCCTAGGTCAACGCCAGTCAACGCATTACGATGAAAATCTACACCGGTCAACGCGTAGATTGATACTTCAATAGTTCTCACTAAAACAAGAATTGAATCAATCCTAGTTCAAGAGATATGAATTCCGGATGAAAGGTAATCAGTCCAACGTCGACCCAACGATACGAGCTAAGTCCAGAAACCAATACATTAGTTTCAATTTGAGACTTCAACAATGGTCAGATGATAAACGCAGCACCGGAAGAATTTCAGCTATTCGATAAAATACTGAATAGACTGAAAAGTGGAGAAGTCAAGAACTAAAACCAGTTATAGATCCTTTGATACCTATTGAAGGTGAGGGCCTATCACATCCAAAGCATTTCACGCTCCTCTATAAAAGAATGAGGCTAAAACACTTTGGAGGGGGTATCTGTAGACGTAAAAAAATTCCTATAGGTTCTCGTATGCAGCTCGAGACGAAGGGGAGACATTAAACGTCATCATCCAAGTCGAGAAGATTTATCTGATTGACCCGCGTACTCATCAGCTAGCTCCAAGTGATCCGCGTACTCACCAGTCACTGTCAAGTGGCCCGTACGCTCATCGGTCACCGTAACGGCGAACCAAGCGTCCCGTGCGCTCACCGGCAACCTCCAAGTGGCCCGCGCACTCATCAGCCAGTTCCAAGTGGCCCGCGTACTCACTGATCACCGATAAGTGGCCTATACACTCATTGGCCACCGGAACGGCGTGCCAAGCATCTCGTGCGCTCACCGGCCACCTCCAATTGGCTCGCGCACTCATCAGCCAGTTCCAAGTGGCCCGTGTACTCATCGGCCACTGGAACAGCGAACCAATTGGCCTGTATACCCAGCGGCCAATGTCAAGTGATCCGCGTGTTCACAAAACACACAAAACGAATCTGTGAAGCGTACGAGTTAGCGAAATGACGAAATACGCGTAAACGACACAACAAGTCAAAATCCGAAAAACCAGAATAGCCGTTGGCGACCGAATCGTACCCAAATAGGCACTCGCCACGAAGAGGCCCGTGGGCTCGTCTAGGCCGAGCCACCCAAATGGTGACTCGGCCAGGGCGAAGCCACAGAGACCCGAGTGCTCGTACCGTTTTATCCGAAAACACATTTTGGCGGGTTTTGACAGGCTCTCATGGGATTTCTTCATTTCTAGAGGTTCCTAACTACCTAAAGTCATCTCTAAACATAGTTATATAGTTGTTAACTGAAGATAAAGCTGAATCCATCGTTCTTATCCAAAAACCCCCCAACCGAAGCCTATAAATACAAGCTTAGGGGCTCATTTCTACAGATCTGGAAATCAAGAGGGCGAAGTGCTGTCGAATTGGAGAGTGGAGCACGAATTTCAGAGAGTTAGCAGATCTTATCAAAGTTCCTCAATAAAAAAGAGAGTTCGAGAGATCTGAGAATTATTTCCCCCTATTCCTCTGGATTTAAGATTAGTCTTAATCTCGAGAAGAGTCGTAATCTCGCTTGGTCGGGATTACCACTTCAGCGAATACTTCATTCGAGAAGTAAGAGCTTTGATTAACTTTTCTGTTAACCGAATCTGATCCGTGACGGTCCACGGACTAACGCATCCCCGGCACAGGCGAAGTTCTCACCCAAACAACAGGAGATAAACTGCTGTTATGTTGTTTGACAAGAGTTGTATTCTTTTTATTTTTATTGTATAAGTCGATTTTATAAAAAGATCTATTTTTTTCTTTTTTTCAAACTTGTAATCGATAAACAGTTGAAATGAGTTTGTTGGCGATGAAATCAACTTTTGACACAAACACTTATAGAGAAGTATTAAGATCAAAATATTCTGAAGAATGGATTAGTGCTATGAAGAGTGAGATGGAATCCCTAAGAATTAACCAAACATAAAAACTTGTTTCTAAACCTGCTAGTTGTTCTGTAGTGGACTGTAAGTGGCTGTTTAAGGTGAAACAAGAATTTGAAAGTGTTAGGTTTAAGACTAGGTTAGTAGCTAAGAGATTTACTCAAAAGGAGGTAATTGATTATGCTAAAAAATTTTCTCCTGTTGTCAAATTCACTACTGTTAGAATTATACTTGCTTTAGTTGCTCATTTTAATTGGGAATTAAAACAAATGGATGTAACTACTGCTTTCTTGCATGGTGATCTTGATAAAAATATTTATGTGCACCAACCTGAGGGCTTTGTGGGCTCTAAATTACCTGATCATGTGTGTTTGTTAAAAAAGGCTTTGTATGGTTTAAAACAATTACCTAGGCAATGGAACATTAGATTTGATAAATGTATGCAATATTTAAAGTTTAAAAGGAGTTTTGCTGATCATTGCCTGTATTATAAGAATATAGACCCTGTGCCTGTATTTCTTTTAGTTTATGTGGATGACATGTTGATTGTTAGTCCTTGTTTGAAGTCTATTGAGCATGTTCAAAAATATCTTTGTGAAAATTTTGACATGAAAGATTTAGGCGATGCTAAAAGAATCCTAGGCATGAATAGTATTAGGGACAAAAACAAATCTACTCTAGTTTTAAACCAAAATTTATATGTCGAAAAACTTTTGAGTAAATTCCCTATGTCTGATGCCAAATATGTGAATGTGCCTCTTGCTTCCAATTTTGTGTTAAGTAAGGATCAGTCCCCCAAGACTGAAATTGAAATAAATGATATGAAGAAAGTGTTATATTCGATTGATATAGGATCAGTCATGTATCTCATGGTTAGTACTAGACCTGACATTTCATATGTGGTTAGTTGCTTGAGTAGATATATGTCAAATCCTGATATGCCTCATTGGAATGCCTTGAAATGGCTTTTAAGATATTTTAAATCCTCTGTGGATGTAGGATTAACCTTTTCTAAGTGTTCTGAAGGTGTTAAACTAGTTGACTATGTAGATTCCAATTATACAAATGATAGAGATAATAGAAAATCTACCACTTCCTATGTATTTACTTTGTGTGGCTCTTGCATAAGTTGGAAATTCCAACTATAACCCATTGTTGCTTTATCTACTACTGAATCTGAGTATGCTGCTGCCACTAAAGCTTTTAAAGATGCTATTTGGCTTAGGGGCCTTATATCTGAAATTAGTTTTCTTGATAAAAATGTGGTTGTATTTTCTGATAGTCAATCTTCTATTCAACTTTGCAAAATCCTATTTTTCATGATAGAACTAAACATATTGATGTTAGATTTCATTATATTCCGGATATAGTTGAAAAGGGTATTGTGAAGTTAGATAAAGTTCCCTCAGAGTTTAATCCGGCTGACATGGGTACTAAGTGTTTGCCTGCTGAAAAATTTATCTCGTGTCAAAGAATCTTGAATTTTGACTTTGGGTAATTTTTATTTGCTTTGTGTGTTGCCTTTGTGGCCTATTAACTTGCTTTGTGCTTGTTAGTAGCTTTGTCATTTTTTTCCTTTGAACTCGATGACCGTTTGGTAGGGTTCGGTCCTTTGTAGGCTTGGTATGCTTGGTGATTTTACCCCGATCTTTGTGATCTGAGCTTACTTTGTGTATTCTCTTCCAATATTGCTAGCTTGTATCTTCTTTGTGATCATACATGTAATGGTTTGGCGATGATGAGTCCTGCAGTTCCGTGTTTTTTCTCAGTGCACTACCTTGGGCCAAATGTGGAGATTGTTGTTATTTGTTGGCCCAAAGCTGCTGGCCCATTTGCTAAAGAGGCACAGTTCCCACCTCTTTAGTCCCTTGCCCATCACTTTGTCCTGTTCGCTGCCACTTTGAGTCCCATCTCCCATCCCTGTAGGTCTGCTCCTACCTTTCAAAACCCTAGCCTATCTCTCATTGTCGGCCCATCCATCGCTTTGTGCGATCCCTTCACCCTTTGTGAGTGATTAAAGATGAAGAACAGTGGACTCTCCTTGTGTCCTTGGTGGTGCAAATCTGAGAAACAGTGACTGAAGATTCAGGCTTCGGAGCCAAACAACGACGACACCCAAACTCTACAACCCCTATAGAATTATTTTGAAACTTATTACCTTATAATTTGATTTCAGCATATATATCCACTGAGTGATTTAAAATAAAGAACTCTTTTAGCTTAAAAGAGTCAACAAATTTCGGTCAGGGATCCATACGCCAAAATCAGTACAGAAGTATTAAGTTCCAAAGCATACACAGATATACTACAGTGGGTCTATGTGCAAATAACTGATAGGTATTTAATCCTCACCACCCTTCATATTCAAAGTCTATATAAAGCCCTGGTCTGGTACTCGAAACCAAAAAAGAGGAAAATTTTGAGCATGAGCACTTCCTACTTGTCTCTGTTTACAGTGTTATGCTGCATTTTTCTTCGTGCTAGCATAAATGAGGCAAACGAAGCCAACAAACTGAGAGAGTTCATAAAAAATGAGAGATCGTCGGGTTCTTCTTCTCCTGAAAACTATTCATTGCTTGAGTTTTTGTCGAGCAAGTCCTTTTCTCCAGTCTATATTAGTCCTCATGAAGGGATGATGGATGCCGATAAGATTGATGAGTTGCCAGGCCAACCAACAGCGGTTGATTTTAATCAGTATGCAGGTTATGTGACCGTCGATCCAAATCATGGAAGAGCACTGTTCTATTATTTCGTTGAGTCTCCTCAAAATTCTTCTAGCAAGCCTCTTGTGTTATGGCTCAACGGAGGTATTTTGATATTTATTACTCATCTCCTATATAGTTCTTACGACAGGTCATTTTAAAATGATTTCTTTTGATTTCTATGGTATCAGTTACTAATAATATTGTCGTCCACAAACAGATCTGAAGTATTGGTAGTCAGTGTTACTTTGATGTAAATTGTTAGTCAACAACTAAATAGTTCTAAACTTTGGATAAAATAGTTCTTGACATGTGGTACCATGTCACAGCAGGTTTTATTTCCTGCCCGTTTTGTTTGGGAGAGGTCAAAGAATTAATGTTAGTTTGATATATATTGTTATCTCATCATTAAACAGGTTAGATGATGAGGTTTCGTAGTGAAGTTTTATTCCCAATAAGAAAGTATGATAACCTTTTTTTTGTGAGAAATAAAATTATGTTTATATGATATGTCCCATTCTGTGTTGTGACCTTCATGTCACCTCTGTAATATTCCTCTTTATGTCACTATTGGATAATATTGACTGTCTTCATGTAATAGTCGTTGTCATGATCTATGAAAATTCTTGATTAAATTTCTTTCATAGAATCATGTGATTAATTATGAACCTAAAATACACTTCATTTTTATTAATCTTTTTCAAGGACCTGGATGCTCTTCTTTGGGCTATGGAGCTATGGAGGAACTAGGGCCTTTCAGAGTAAATAGCGATGGCGAAACACTTACAAGAAATTACTATGCGTGGAACAATGGTAACATAATGGAATGCAAACTTCAATGACATATCAAAGACTAAAAATCTTTTCTACAAATTGCAGTTGCAAATATCCTATTCTTGGAGTCACCAGCAGGAGTTGGCTTCTCATACTCAAACACAAGCTCAGATATTCATCAGAACGGAGATAAAAGAACTGCAGTTGATTCCTATGCCTTTCTAATAAACTGGTTAGAGAGGTTCCCACAATACAATGCACGTGATTTTTACATTGCAGGAGAGAGCTATGCAGGTCATTATATACCTGAACTTGCTCAACTTATCTTGGAGAATAACAAAATCACCAATCAGACATCCATTAACCTCCATGGTGTTGCTGTATGTATGTTGATATCTTTGCATCATTTACACATTCTTTATGAAAATTATCATAATGAATGACAATTTGTACGTCAGATTGGGAATGCTTACATTGATCAAACTTCCAATATGATCGGAACAAATGCTTACTATTGGACTCATGCTCTAATCTCGGACGATACATACGATATAATTCGTTCAACTTGCAATTTTAGCAATCCATTTTACTCTGTTAAATGCGCGGATGCTCTTAACAAAGCTGATAATGAAATCGGAGATATAGACTTGTATAACATTTATGCTCCCCGCTGCCATGGTACAAAGAGCTCATCGGGGGTTTCGGTACATACACATATCTAATACTGCTTTTGTGTACGTGAACCATGCTACAATTGCTAATTACTTCACAATATTCAGATGGCAGATTTTGATCCATGTTCGGATAATTATGTACACAAATACCTGAACAACCCTTTTGTTCAAAAGGCTTTTCATGCAAATGTCACAAAGTTGTCATATGATTGGGAAAGTTGCAGGTGAATTATCATGACTTTCTTCATTGATTTATTTAGAATTTGTTAATTCTAACTTCACTTTGTTTTGTTTTCCTCAGGGGTCTCTCGTGGGTTGACAACCCTCCTACAGTTCTGCCCATCGTTATTGAGCTCATTACTAGTGGCATAAGATTCTGGCTTTACAGGTAATTTTGGTTACAAAATCTCTCAACCAAATATTATGAAGGGTAAATTTCACAAAACACCCCTGAACTTTGGGGGTTCTACCAATCATAGAATCCGTAAACTTTCACAATTCATGCCTCCTTGAACTATTAGAAAATCTCATAGATAATGTTCATGGAGGTTATATGAAATAACTCTTCTATCATAAATGAATATGCTAAAGAATAGAAACATTTTGCAGTGGCGATATTGATAGTGTAGTTCCTGTAGCATCAACAAGGTACTCCATCAAAATACTCGGGTTGCCAATCAAGAACGCATGGCGCCCATGGTATCTCAATGAAGAGGTGAAAGTTCCAACATAAACAACATGATGCCTAATCTCCTTTATATGTTCATGTACAAACAATCATAGTCATCTGGTTGAATGAATACAGGTTGGAGGCTATGTCGAGGAATACGAAGGATTGACGCTAGTAACGGTGAGAGGAGCAGGGCATATGGTTCCCAGTAATCAGCCTGAACGATCATTAGCTATGTTCTCTTCATTCCTCAAAGGACAACTTCCACCGAAGATGCACAAATAATGCAATCTTTTAATGAGAGGCTCCATATATATATTTCGCCCTCTTGGTCAAGTGTAAAATGTTAGCATGAGATGGATAATAAAGTTACAGTACTTCAGTTTAGTTTAGTCATTTCCTTTCTTCATGTTACGTTCTTAAGTGTAAAGAACAAAATATGTTTAAGAAAAACTAAATATTGTGCATTTTAAAAGGGGCTTAGTTACTGATGAAATATTGGGAATAGTCTTAATTTAGGACAAGTCCAAAGAACATAAAATCAGTATATTACTTTTATCATGAAGAATCTCATTGTTGGCAAAAACTCAAAAGCAGCAGTTTGGCAATTTTCTTGTTACATGTCCTTGCCACAAACCCTAGACCTCCCCACTGCCACCTCAAAAAAATTCAAATCAGCAACTTAGGACTAGACTGACTCATAATTCTCAATATAGAAAACATATGCTGAAAACTATGATATTGCTGGAATATTCTTTCCTCAAAAAAAAAAGTTGAACATTTTTAGAAACTTGATATTTGGGAATCAAATTCGTAAAAGTAGAGCCACCTCTTGAGGCCGTAGGAGCCACCTCTAGAATCTCACACGGATGGTACGGTCTTGGATAATATGATTTGGCACAACGAGGACGTTGTGAGTTTAAGTGGGGGAGTATGTAATACCCCAACCCTTGAGAGGGTGATGTGATTAGTATTGATAGATTTGATTAGAATACTCATACCACCAAGATGCATCTTCTTTTCGGGAACCTAACTCTTAGAAACTCCAAAGTTAAGCGTGCTTGGCCTGGAGAAATTCTAGGATGGGTGACACCCTGGGAAGTTTTCCAGGGAGCACGTGAGTGAGGACAAAACGTGCTGAAAAGACATGTGGTGGTTTGTGAGGCCAGTCCATCAGATCTAATAGCGTACCAACTCCGGGATTCCGGGGCGGGGCGTTACAAATGGTATCAGAGCAAAGCCAACCGGAATTGTGAGAGCTAAGTGCTATGCGGCGCAAAGTGCTATGCCGAAAGAGCGGGAGCCACCTCTTGAGGCCGTAGGAGCCACCTCTAGAATCTCACACGGATGGTACGGTCTTAGATGATCTATGCGGCGCAAAGTGCTACGTCGAGAGGGCGGGAGCCACCTCTTGAGGCCGTAGGAGCCACCTCTAGAATCTCACACGGATGGTACGGTCTTGGATGATATGATTTGGCACAACGAGGACGTTGTGAGTTTAAGTGGGGGAGTATGTAATACCCCAACCCTTGAGAGGGTGATGTGATTAGTATTGATAGATTTAATTGTCGAGAGGATGGGAGCCACCTCTTGAGGTCGTAGGAGCCACCTCTAGAATCTCACACGGATGGTACGGTCTTGGATAATATGATTTGGCACAACGAGGACGTTGTGAGTTTAAGTGGGGGAGTATGTAATACCCCAACCCTTGAGAGGGTGATGTGATTAGTATTGATAGATTTGATTAGAATACTCATACCACCAAGATGCATCTTCTTTTCGGGAACCTAACTCTTAGAAACTCCAAAGTTAAGCGTGCTTGGCCTGGAGAAATTCTAGGATGGGTGACACCCTGGGAAGTTTTCCAGGGAGCACGTGAGTGAGGACAAAACGTGCTGAAAAGACATGTGGTGGTTTGTGAGGCCAGTCCATCAGATCTAATAGCGTACCAACTCCGGGATTCCGGGGCGGGGCGTTACAAAATGTACTTGTGCCAAATTCTACACAAAATTAACACAAGTTATGAGCTATAAGAATAGTGACCACTTACCGGAGAAATATTTCTAATTATAAGGAAATTGAATGTCATAAAGCATGCACCTTCTCTCGTCTATAAAAAGTACACCATGTATACTTACAAACTCAAAAAGGTCCTTATCTCTGTTGGGAATTTTAACGCCTAAATCCCCTAATGCAACGGAAACGCAGATAGAAAACAGTACACCAAGATTTACGAGGTTCGGCAACTGCCTACGTCCTCGGGAGCCACATAGTTAATTTCTTATTTAATCTAACAAGAAATTACAAATCAAGAGCAAATCCCTAAACTGAGATTTCTCAGATTGAATACTGTAGCTACAGTGTTAATATTAAAGGGAATAAACCCTTTCAATTTCTCTCTCAAATAAAACCCCCATTTTCTTTCTTCTCTCTCTCTAATCCTTTTCTAATCTCCCCTCAAAACACCTGAGATCTGGAGATTAAAAGGGGAGAAATCGCTGCTGCGATTTCAGAGCCGAAGATGGGGAAAACGCCGCTGCGTTTTTGGGTCGCCGCCAAGAGAAAACAAAGGGGAAGCTCAGCAATCTAGGGCATCGAAAGGGGGGGCTTTTATAGCCGAGATTCGTGAGCTGGCGACAGCCTGTCGCCAGCGGATGTCCGACGCGAGGGTGGGAGGCGAAGACGCAATGGTCGGAGCTCTGAACGCGGGGGTCGAGCCGCGTTCACACCGAGGGTCGCGTTCCGCCTTCCGAGGGTCGCGTTCGCCAACGCCACCATCGCGTTCGTCGTCGAATTCGCCGAGTCGACGCTCGCCTGCAACAACCTGGAGCTCGTCGGAGCTCCTCCGCCGTCGGAGGTTGGTATCCACCTCCAACCTAACAATCTCCCACTTGGAGACCAAACCGACGGCAACGGGCTATCTCATCAAACTCCTCTTCTGTGTGGCTCCGCCCTCATCATCTATGCATGAGGGCCAACTGAAGTTGCGCACAACTCCAGTTTCTGAAAGGACGCTGCCTTTGTCAACATATCCGCTGGATACTTTCTTCCTTGGATATTCTGTTGAAATCCTTTGACAACTCGTCGGGCTCTGTATCTTCTGGAACCATTCTGCTCCTTTTTTACTCGATACACCCACTTGTTGTGACGTGCCTTCTTCCCTATGGGCAACTCAGCTAGTCCCCATGTGCCTTCTTCCCTATGGGAAACTCAGCTAGTCCCCATGTCTGGTTGGAGATCAGAGATTTCTTCTCTTCTTTCGCAGCAAACTCCCACTTGCTCGCATCTCCACTCTGACAAGCTTCATCAAAGCTTTCAGACTCTCCTCCATTTGTCAGCAACATATAATTCATGTATCTGCTGTTAGGCACAGGAGGACGAGTAGTTCTCCTCAATATCGGAGCTGGTGCGTCGGGCTCCTGCGCACCGTTCTGTCCAACAGGCTCTTCTGGCTGAGGACCTTCTGCATTGGGTTCTTCCGAGAGGTTATCCGGAACATCATCTGCATCTACAAATGTTGACTCGCTCTCTGAGTCACCGTCATCTGTCTTGTGCATGTCCTTGTACATCACCTTCTCGTTGAATGTCACATCTCTGCACCTGATCACCTTCTTGTTTTCGTTGTCCCAAATGCGGTAGCCGAACTCGTCTTCACCATACCCGATGAATGTGCATTTCTTAGACTTGGGATCAGGCTCATTCCTGCCTGGATCACTTATATGCACATAAGCTACACAACCGAAAACTTTGAGATGTGAGAGGGTTACCTCCTTTCCGCACCATACCTCTTCTGGTATTCTGTGCTCCAATGGAACCGATGGACCTCGGTTGATCAAGTAAGCTGCTGTGTTGACTGCTTCTGCCCAGAACTGCTTCGGTAGACCTGACTGCATCCGAATGCTTCTGGCTCTCTCTGTCAACATTCGGTTCATCCGCTCAGCTACACCATTTTGCTGAGGCGTGCCAGACACTGTTCTCTCCATTCTGATCCCGTGCTCATAGCAGAACTTCTTGAATCTGGTGTCTTCATACTCACCACCATTGTCTGTTCTGAGTTTCTTTACCCTCAAACCGGTCTCATTCTCGACCATGGCTTTCCATCTTCTGAAAGCCTCAAACACTTCTGACTTTTTCTTCAGAAAGTAGACCCATACTTTCCGAGAGTGATCATCAATAAAAGTCACGAAGTAGTGTTTCCCACCAATCGACGCGGTGGTTGTTGGTCCCCAAACATCCGAGTGAACAAGCTCTAGCTTCTGCTTCCTGGGGGGTCTGCTACTTGCCTGAAAGCTAACTCTCTTCTGCTTTCCAAGTATGCATTCTTCACACACATCAATCTCTACTGATTGTAAACCTGGGAGTTTTCTCTTTGTGTGCATAACCTTCATCCCCTTTTCACTCATATGACCGAGTCTCTGGTGCCACAGCTTTGAAGTCTCATTGCATGCCGCAACTGAGATCGAACAACGTGCACCCGCTGTCATATACAGGGTACCAGTCTTCCTGCCCCTGGCAATCGTCATTGCGCCTTTCGAAATCCTCCAGTCATCGCCATGGAAAGTCATCGTGTAGCCTTCACTAGCCAGCTGGCTTACTGAGATTAAGTTCCTCTTCAGGTCGGGAATATACCTGACATCCTTCAGCTCCCATACTGACCCATTCAGCTTAATCTTCACTACACCTTTGCCAATAATGGCACATGCTTGATCGTCACCAAGATATACATTTCCAAGGTTTCCGGGGATATACTTCTCGAGGAATTCTTTCTGAGAAGTAGCATGGAATGATGCTCCCGAGTCCAACACCCAAGACTCCTCCTTGCTCTCCAAAGAGCATATCAGCGCATCATCTCCTCCTGAGGTGGAGGCAACATTCACATCTGCATTTGCCTCCCACTCCTCCCGTGCACTCCTGCACTGATTCTTGTAGTGCCCGGTTTTCCCGCACTTCCAACACTCGATAGCCTTCGAACTGTTGGGATTTCTGGATTTGGATCTCCTATCATCTGATCCATTTCCTCTGGTTGAACTTTTACCTCTTGACTCTGTATGCAATACTGAAGAGGTTGTAGCTTCACCCGACTCTCTCCGTCGGATCTCCTCACTGAGAACCAGATCACGAACGTCGTCAAACTTCAACTTTTTCTTTCCCGACGAGCTACTCACAGCTGTGACTGTAGCATTCCAACTCTCTGGTAGGGAAGACAAAAGGATCAACGCTCGAACTTCCTCATCAAACTCAATATCAACTGAACTCAATTGGGTCGTGACTGTATTGAGTTCATTGAGATGATGTGCTACCGATGCACCTTCCGCCATTCGCAGATTGAACAACCGCCTCATCAAATGGACTTTATTTGAGGCTGATGGCTTCTCATACATAT